GTGACCTGTACGCTCTCATTGGCTGGCCCTCACTACATATTCGTCGCCAAACCCACTGGCTCCAGGTCATCTATAAATCTCTTCTAGGCAAATCCCCACCTTATCTTAGCTCATTGGTCACCATAGCAACACCCACCGTAGTATGCGTTCCAGCAGGTATATCTCACTGGTCATCCCCAAAGCCAACATCTCCTTTGGCTGCCATTCCTTCCAGTTCTCTGCTGCAAATGACTGGAACGAACTGCAAAAATCTCTGAAGCTGGAGACTCTTATCTCCCTCACTATCTTTAAGCATCAGTTGTCAGAGCAGCTTACCGATCACTGCACCTGTACACAGCCCATCTGTAATTAGCCCACCCAACTACCTCATCCCCATATTGTTATTTACATTGTTATTTATTTTGCTCATTTGCACCCCAGTATCTCTATTTGCACATCATCTTCTGCACATCTATCACTCCAGTGTTAATACTAAATTGTAATTATTTTGCACTATGGCCTATTTATTGCCTTACCTCCATAACTTACTACATTTGCACACACTGTATATATATTTTCTATTGTGTTATTGACTCTACGTTTTGTTTATTCCATATGTAACTCTGTGTTTGTTGTTTTTATCGCACTGCTTTGCTTTATCTTGGCCAGGTCGCAGTTGTAAATGAGAACTTGTTCTCAACTGGCTTATCTGGTTAAATAAAGGTGAAATAAAATAAAATAAAATACAAAAATAATATGCACTTACATTTATACTGACTCTACACACACGCACGCACGCACACCCACTCACATACAATCATCATATACGCTGCTGCTACTCTGTTTATCATATATCCTGATGCCTAGTCACCTTACCCCTATACATATCTACCTCTATCGATCCAGTATCCCTGCACATTGTAAATATGGTACTGGAACTGACAATGTATATAGTATGGAACTGACAATGTATATTGCCTTAAGTAAACATCTGTCTTATGTAACCATTATTATATTATATTATTATTATTATTATAGTATGCTTACTTATTTTATTGTGCTCTTCTTATTTCTTATTTGTATATATTGTGTGTTTTTGTTCTACCTTGTTATTTTTAGTATTACATTGTTATTGATTACTGCATTGTTGGGGTTAGAGATTGCAAGAAAGGCATAGCACTGTACTTGTACATGTGACATTAAAACTTGAACTTGAACTTGAAACTTGAGCACATCACTCCAGTGCAGTTCAACCTCCACTGGCTCCCTATGCTCACACATCAACTACAACATCCTGGTTCACACCTACCAAGCTATCCACAGCTCTGGACCCAAGTACCTGTCTGACCTCATTCTACCCTCCTGCTCCTTCGCTCCTCCAGGTCCGTCTACCTTCAGCAGCCCCGCAGCAGACTAAAAACTATGGAAAAGGAAAGGAAAGGGAAAGAAGAGCCTGTGTGTGGTGTGTGTGTGTGTGTTTGTGTGTTGATAGATGTGCAGATGAATCAGTCAAAGGGTATGGCAACCTTTTGTCTGTGTGCGCAAGTGTGAATCATCTATCAGCAATGCCATAAAAACGGCTCAATGTTTACGGCAGGCAACAAGCATAATTGGAAACAATAAGTGCAAGTATGGTTTGAGCAGCTGGCTGCAACCTGGTCTCAGAGCATTTCATATTATTCTGTATGTAAATCCGAGACTCTCCATTTAGTAGGATATCAGTGGAGGCTGCTGAGGGGAGAACGGCTCATAATAATGGCAGGTGCGGAGCAAATGGAATGGCATCCAACACCTGTGTGTTTGATGTATTTGATACCATTCCACTGATTCCGCTCCAGTTATTACCACAAGCCCGTTCTACCCAATTAAGGTGCCACCAACCTCCTGTGTATGATATGTTACGTTTCGTATGGTATGTCTTAATTTGTGTACGTCCATCACCCATTTCGTATGATATGTTGCGAATTACAATTCGTATTAAAGGTTGCGAATTTGCTAAATGTACAGTATGTTATGAATTTCCAAAACGTACAATATGTTACAAATTTGAAAAACTTATGATATGTTCCAAATTCTAGCTAGGTGGCTAACGTTAGCTAGCTGGCTAACGTTATCTAGGCTAAGGGTTAGATGTCAGGGTTAAGGTTAGGGTTAAGTTTAAGTTTAAGTTTAGCAGTTGGGTTAAAGGGTTAAGGTTAGGGTTAGAGGAAGGGTTAGCTAAAAGAGTGAACGTTTGGGTTTGGGGAAGGGTTAGCTAAAAGGTTTAAGGTTAGGGTTCAGGGAATGGTTAGCTAACATGCTAAGTAGTTGCAAAGTAGCTAAAAATTAGTAAGTAGTTGAAAAGTTGCTAATTAGTTAAAAGGCTAAAGTTGTCCATGATGAGATTCAAACTCACAACCTTTGGTTTGCTAGACGTTCACATTATATGTCCACCCATCCACCCCGACCAACCAACCAACCAACCAACCAACCTACCTACCTACTTTCGTTTTGCCTTAAGTAAACATCTGTCTTATGTAACCATACCAAATGTAACATATCATACTAATTTGAGTGACCCGGATTTACATCAATATGTTACGTCTAGTCTATGAGACCAAGCTGTTGAGCTGGGTTTGCTTGATGTTCCTGAGAAAGGAATTCACAACTTCAAATAAACTTTCTTGAGATTGCAAATCGTTTTAATTCTAACAGAGACACACCAAAGCAGCCTAGACTTTAATTGTACACAAAAATGGGCACATTAAAAATATATTTCAGTGTAAAAATCAGTTATCAAATGACATCTTTAGTACAAGATTAGTGATTCTTATTGTTTATTGTTGTAGGGCTTTTTATTATGGCAGTTGTATAGGTCTAGCTCTATCAATGTTAGGCTGCACAACTTTCATGATATGGGGAGAGCGATAACAGCTGTTATACATACCCATTTACTCATGACCACAACATGACTATAACTTGTTTGTGTTGTATGTGGTTTACTAAGGCCAATCCAGTACTGCATGCTCAAGCCATGCTCAAAATAAAGCCAAAGTGTTGTGGAAGATGCAAGTTCTACCTGATGAGGGAGACAGACACCATGTAAAATGTCTGACTCTCAGACATGAAATTAAAGCCTATAGTGTCAGTAGTCTACAGGTAGGCCTATGTGGATCTGAACGGGTTTATGTTTCAACTCGATTTTATTAATAGGGAATTGGGAATGAATCGTTTCTTCATAAATCCACGCAATTGACTTGTAAATCTTTTACTTGATGCAATAAGTCTTATTGGGCCTACATAGCCACTGAGGGGCGCTATAGAACTGTGAAATTACTTTGTACGCACTCAAGCTCTAGAAGGCTAGTAGTTTGCACATCAGACTGTGGGCCCATTGGCAAATCACCAAACACAATGGGCTCTCCTATATTATAATCAAAATATTCATATTGATTATAGTGAAATACCTGGTTATTTTGTAGGTCTGTGGGGCACGAGATATGACTCTAAATCCAGCAGTGAAGTGACCAATAAACACAATAGAAAGGTAGGGTATAGGACAATAACAATGTATTGTCCTTTAGGAAATTATCTTTGCTCCATACAGACATAGCACAGCCTACAAAACAGCCAGAAAAAAAGACATCACAAGACATAGGTTACTGAGAAGGCATATATACAATACAATGGATGTTATTTTTTATGAATCAACTGTTTCCTAGAACGCGCTAGTTGGACAGCAACCAGTTCCGCGCTGCGCGCGACACGCGTCTCGCGGGAGCAAAGTGCAGTGGCATGCGCTGCTGCGGTGGAAATGGCGTTAACAAGGACACGGCCGGGGGAACTGCGCCCAAGCTGGCAGGTGCAGAAGTAATGGAGATTGTATTTTATTAAATGAGAATGTAACAGAGATAGCTAAAGGATACACTCCCAATGTCTGAAGATCCCATTCGCAGACAATTGAAAGTAATATCCCAGGTCAATTGCCTCGAACAAATAGATAGATAGGCCTACATTATTGACTCCACCAATATTGGACAATGAAACTAGACGAGGTAAACATGACACGATCAACCACACCTATAGGTGTTTAGACGCTTCTGAATTAATAAAGCATTGAGTATGACATATTTTTATTACTATATACATACGGTTATTACATTTAAATGCTCATTCTGCGTTCTTGTATTGTATTGTAGGCCATTTATTTGGTCGTTTTGGTGGCAATTCTTTCTTAATTTCCAGTAAACAAACACATCGACCGTAGGTTTGATTAATTTCAGTTGGCAAAAATGTTGCTGTAACTATTCTCCACTCAAATGTTCAATGTCTGGTTGATTATCTTCACCACACGCTAGGCTACATCGCGTCGGAGTCCACACTGTTCAAAGTAATCATCCTCCTGCAGTGCTTTGTCATGTAGTTGTGTCGTTTGTGTAGTGTTCACTAGGTGGCGGTAAGTCTGGAATGTCAACGTGAGAATCCTGTTCAACATTATTGCAGACGCACCGCCGCCTTCTGTGCAATAAAGTCGAGTAAGATATCGAAGGCGCCAGGTGAGCAATAGACAGAGCAATTTAGATACTTTGTGTCGTGTTTACTCCTATTCCCTAGCGCCACAGCAGTTACTTATTAACCATACATTATACAAATAAAGATATGAAGTTGTTAAACTCATGACTCGAGGCGCAAAGGAGAGGGCAATCAAGTTATTTTACATTCTTTAGGGTTCACGTTGGCCGAAATAATCAGTCAATAGGCTACTCAGCAGGTCTATAAAACACTCGCGCACAATGACTCGCTCTGGCGCGCTCTCGTGTCCAGGAAGGAATTCCAGGTATGATAGCTTGAGAGTTTGAGAGGATCTTAATAGCATTTCTCGACTTTTTCATCATAGTCTAAACGCCTCTATCTCCAAATGCTAAAGTGGACAAAGTGTGGCAACACAGATTTGGTTGGAGCAATTACATCACCTTGTATTTGTCCGTATAGTTTTACATAATATAGTTTACATAATCTAAAGAAACTGACACATGGAAACGTATGGAGACTGCATTTCAATATTTTATTGAAACTTTCAAGAACACATTGTTGATGTTGTAAACTACACAAAAATCGAATACAACATAACCCAATGACAACTTTAGAAACACAAAAGAAACCTTTCTATTTCAATAAGATGCTGCACTTTTACTATCAGGCTGCAATGTTTTAAACAGAAATTTCGTCTATTTTGACACACATGTTTGTTTTCTTTTGAGAGAAAATGATTCATAATTTTTAAAGCCGTTGGTGCAGTGTGCTTTCTTTTCATTCGTCTGAACAGTAGCACTTAACACACCGAGACAACAGGTAAAGGTACAATGGCACATGAGTGTGTCCGCTAAAATAACTAGCTCTGTGGATATTTGGGGTACAGGTAAATCCATATTCAGGGGGATATAAAAGGCAGATGGAAAAACAAGGATAATAGCCCACAAACTATCTTTACACAGGTATATCGACAATAAATTAAGGACAGATCCCTAAAAACAAACTACTCCGTTCTATTTACACGCAATATCAATATGAAATAATTACATAAATATTTGTATATATCATTATTTACATTAATAATCAATATTTCCTTTTCAATGTTATTTCAGATTCCCTTTGCCAGTTGGATACTTATGCTGTATTCGGCATGCGATTTTAGGACAGTCTCAGCCACTCGCACATGAAGTTTATAACCTCGGTTCTGTTTTGGCCTACTTCAAACAAGTGCCAGCATATGGATTTCCATAATCCTGTGTTTATAAATTGACATACAGAAAAATTCGTTCGTAAAATCAATAAGCGACGACCAATTGATTGAATCCTTAGCAAAAAGGGAGGGAGTGGAATATTTTTTTTCTCCAGATTGGTTTAAGATCAGCCTTAATCATGTTTTATCCTTATTCGTCATATTTCAATTCGGTGAAAATAAACCATAACAAAAGAGACGTATCTTTTTGTAGGGCATGCAAGTGTCACCTACCCTATGAGCATAATGATAGACTTCAAATAGTTATGCAATAAAACATCAAACACAACAGTCTATAATATAAAGGGAACTGAATTCAAATAATTATAACCAATTCAGAGTGCATATTAAATCAAACAAATTTCGTTACCTCAGCAACCTGACATAAAATAAACTTATAGGACACAGCAGCAACTTATCATTAGATCTGTGAGTATCATCCATGCCAACCTTTCAGTTTCAATACTTGTATGGTATTCAAATAACAGGACAAATTCAAAAGTGTTGTTTAATTTAACAAAAGAGAAATATAGCATACATTAGATGTGTAGGCTATATAACCAAAGTGCATTTCAAAATCTAAACTGTTCAATAGGTCCGTTTTCTAAACCCGCATTCGCTAGAAGGGTGTCGTCATACTCGTCCTCGTGGTACTTATCATCATTATCATCACAACAACAACAAAAACAACAACATTAGAATCTATGGGGACACGCTTCGTGGTCTGTCCTGTTTTGGATCGAGTCCGCTGACCAAGCGCTGAATGCTCTGCAACTCGTTAGTGGAATCTTTCTCAGAGCAAGTTTTTGGGGACAGGGAGACCGAGCCGGACGATATGGTGGACGACCGGCTGGTGACCTCCAAGGTGGAGTCCTGGGTGGCCGAGACGGGGCTCATGGCCATGCCATCCCCTTTCAGCTCGGTGGCGCTGCTTGCCATGGAGGGGATGGCGGTGGTGAGCAGAGTGCTATCCGGCACGCTCATAGGGATGGAGTAAGGGCTGTACCTGAGGCGGGGGCGCACTGCGTTCAGGAAAGGGTGTCGGTGGACAGAGGAGGAGGCTGCGGAAGAGGCTGCCGCGGCTGCTGCCATGTACGTGTAAGGGTAAGGGAACAGGCTCCCAAACGGAGACATGGCCAGACCCTGTGGAGAGAGGAGGGGAAGGATATAAGTATAACTATAGCCTATATAATATAATTCAACAGACGCTAGCTTTTACGCACCATAAAAACACAGCAAAACAGGAAAAATAGGCTACACTTTAATTTGTCGCAATGTACTTGACCCCTGTCTCTGTATATCTTGAATGCAGGTCATGTAGCGAGTGAGTGTGAATAATGAATACAGACACGTGAGCGATCATGGGAAATGTTATGTACTGTAGGCTACTTTCCCCTTTCTCATAAAGCGATTTACATGATTATGCTTTTCTGTGGCCTTGAGTGTAATGGTTTAGGCCTCATAATGACAGTGTGGTGTAGGGCCGAAGCCTATTACCAATACATGTCTAGAATTTATTCTTAAAACAAGCACAATATAAAGTTATATGCACACGTTAAAACGATGAAAACCTTCCGAGAATCAAATTGACAAAACATTTCGTTTTTCTAGTGTTAGGCGATATCTAGACCCACCACCATGTGATATCGTGTTTTATGCAGCTTTGCAAATAGTTCATGAATTGTTAATGCAAATACAAATTATTTATAGCCTATTGGCCTATGATGCTGTTCATTAAGTACAGAAAATAGCAATTTAGAAGGAATCATTTCTGCAACACGTTTTTTGAAAGTAGGCCTAGATAGTAAAACAGCAAATCTGTTATGTATTTCAGATAAGTTGTTTCCCCGAACCAGTGAAGCATTTAAAACATTCGCCATGTTCCTCTAAAACACAGACTTAATTCATGAGTTAATATCAACACTATAGCCTAAAACTATTGTTGCAACGCTTAGGTGGTCTCTGCCTAAATCCCAACATATGCCCCTGTATTGCCGTTTAACGCCATAAGGAAAAACCTATTAAAACGAAATGGAAATTAGCCTACACTATTTTTTTCTTACACCATGTTGACATTTACACATAAACTAATGGAGACGAGAACACCTGTGCTGACATATATAGTCCAGTAGGCTATATTAGTCAAAATGTAACGAAAAACGCGAGCACACAGGCATTACTGTACTGATGGTGGTAATAAAACAGGTTTTACCTGTGATGCCAAGACATGTTGCTGCAGATGAAAAGGCAGTCCATGAGCTCCCGTCAGGCTTTGCGAGGGTGACGCAATACTGGCCGTGTCCATGGTGCTAACCCCTCCGGAGGACACCGCTGCCAGTAAGGGGCCCATGCCCGCGGCCATATTCGAGAACGCGCCTCCCATGTTGAACTGACTGGGGTGCAAAAGAAAGGGATGCGCGCCGCCTAAGTGATTGAAAAACTGCTGTCCCGCCAAACCCGGTGGAAATCCAAAATGATGCATGTGACTCTGGCTTAAGTGTGGACTGCTGTCAGTTTGAACAGTCAAAGGCATGTAGCTCTCCTTGCTTATAGACCTGCACTCGTCCACTTTGGGCAGGTCCCCACTTGGACTCTTGCGGTCTTCTCCGGACCGAGTGGTGCTGGAGATAACCGTGATTGGGCTCTGTCGTGAGTCCGCCTGGCTTTTCTCAGGCCTGGCGCTTTCCCGAGACCGGCGGATAGAATCATTGACACCGAATTGATGGCCTTTAGTCGGGCTCGCCTCATGATCCTTCCCATCCTCCGTGGTGGTTGAGATCTTACTGGAGTCCGGCCCATCCTTTAGGTTGCCATCTTTGCTCTCATCGTCGCTGTCTTCATCACTCTCGCAAAAATCTATCAGGAATGAGTCAGAAGTTAGTGATAAATGAGGAATGATTATTCATTAATTGAGTTAATCAGTATTAATTTCGTTTTGAGTTTTATTCTTCAGATAGACCTATTAAATTATCATAGGCTAGGCTATAGGCTACGTGATGAGGGATGGACCTCATACGGTGATTACATTTTTCATGACTTTCGATGGCATAGGCCTACGATGTGGAAATATTAATTGACAACTAGATATATAATCAGTATAGGTCTTAATTAGCCTATATCTCACATTAACAAATAGGCCTAGTTTTTAATCCATGCTCTTTTGGAGGACGTTAGCCTAATGCGCGTTCTGCCTACACTTTCTTGCTAATCGTGGTAAGTAGGCCTAATATTATGGGGACTAATACTTATTCCATAATGTATTGGGCTACATTGAAATCCAGAGGCTACTCATTTAATTTTTTGATAAACCTTCAGCTTACTGATCACGTTCTCCAAATGTCCCTCGTTTTAACCGCGGTGATGGTGTGTCGTTCAGATAACAGGCATACATACATTTGTGACTATGCCTAGGCCTACATCTCGAGAGTTTTTAAAAATATTTTATTTTATTCTTTATCCAGTAGGCTATATAATTTTGGCAGATATATTACTCAATTGATTGCTAAATGCTTAGCATGAACATGAGATCCATCCTGTGAATGTGAATTACAAGAATTAGCCTACATAAACGTTATATAGTTTGTAGGTTATTGTTGGTGCTAGATAACGTTCAATAATTTGTAGTGCAATTATTCAACACAATAGGCCTACTGATATCGAAAGACATTCATCTGAATTCAAACTAAATCCAAAATGTAGCCTACTTATTGGAAAATATTTCTCTGCCCACTTTTTTACAAGCATAGGCTACTATGCTATGTGGGTCTGTGAGCTGTGAGATGCAGAAAGTAGCTCTAAGTCTTAATCCAAGCAGAGGCTCTGGGCTCAATTACCTTTCAGGTTGGGAGGCCCCACGGTAGACACCGCGGGAGACGAGGCCTGGCCGAAACACTTGAATGAGGCCTGCTCGCCAGAGGAGTCGTCGGACGTCCCGTTCTCTTTTTTCTGATGCTCCTCGTATGAGCGAATTGACTGCAGGGCCAGCTGTTTCCTACATTAGGCACACAGGTTATTAGTCATCACTACTATTCCTGTGTCAAAAACTAGCCAATAATTTATGTAGGCTACCATATATGCGTAGACGGCTAATATGCAAATTCACAGGCCTGCAATTAATTTTGAGGGCAGATTATGAAGATGCATTTTATCAATCAAGATATATGTCTGTTCGAAGAAATCTATCTATTCAAACCCACTGCAGACAACTAATAATTCACATACCAAACATTGTTCTTGATTACTGTTGTCAACATAGTTCAAGAAAAGTTTCTGAAGAGCTAACTATCAATAACGCTACACTATTTCTGGAGGAGTTTCGAAATTGCATTTTGCTCTTGCGATCTCTGCACTCTGAGAACCATAACAATGTAAATACAACATAATAAGCTATGTCTATTACCTTTTCCAACTCATAAATAAAACGTAAAAGACATAGTATAAATTTAGGTTGAAGGGATTGTCATAAAATGATTTCCCTTTGCAATTGCAAGGACTTTTTGGAATTCACTAACATCACTGTCAGACTTCGTGTCTATAAAATCTGACTATAGGAGTCGTAAAATTTTTGTAGCACACTAAGGGAATAGTTACTTCTACTCCTTACCTTTTCTCTCGTCTTCCATTGCCAGTGTCACGGAATCCTTTGGCAAAAGGATTATGGTCAATTTTCAATTGTGTAATCTGAAAAAATGAAAATCAAAGTTGTAAATATTCGTTAGGTTTTGTGGGGAAGTTTTCGTGGAAGTAAATTGAGTGACATTTCTCCTTGATTCTTTATTCATCATTTTTCATAAGCCTATGTCTGCACATAGCTCTCTATATGTTAACTCTTAAGTCCTAGGAAGTGGAATATTTCAAACAAAAATATATCTAATTGAGCCATCATCTGCATGGTTGGAAATTCTTTGATAATTGAATCTCAAACTAGTGATGAGACAAAGGTCTGATGCTATAAAAGGGGATTTTTTTTATTTTTAACACACACGCGCGCGCACACGCGCGCACACGCACACACACTCGCTCTCTCTCCAGCCAGGTCACCCGCTCTCACCCCTAACACTCAGAACCTCCCCCGCCCCACTCCACCATTGCAGATATTTTACATCCATGTGCAATGCATAGTACTGTATGTCAACTCTCGCAGAGCTATCACATTATTTTCCCCCACTCACTTTTTCTCGCCTTCTACCCCTCCCATGCGGGCAGGATTGACAATATTCCTCCGCCCATGTGGCTGCCAAACATTTACTGCATTTTTGCTTGACCCAAGTGTCCAGAGGTAACACTTAGCTAACATTTCTCCCTTTTATCAAAGAGCCACCGTCAGATATGATTTTGAATAGCGGTGTGTCACATGTGGAATTAAATGTTACCACCAGCCCAGCCGGTTATAAACAAAATGCTCATTTTCTCTGACTAACTGCACATTCTGTTCCCCCTCTCTTTCTCTTTCTCACACTCTCCCTCCCTCCCTCCTTGCTTCTTTACTCTCTCTCTTTCTCTCTCTGTCTCTCTCTCGCACGCACCCACGCGTGCGCGCACGTGCACACACACACACACACAGTCTGGATCGTTGCCAACTTATTTCCATGTGATTAAATAGAATTAAGATAACCTGTATAACATACATTCCTGAGAATTCTGACCCATTCTAGCCTAGTTTGCTTAGTATGAAACATGGCATGAGATGACGTTTACATGTATCGAACACGATAGTTTGTAGGCCCAACACTCAAACAAGACTAAACAAATATGACATATTTCATATTTTATGATGGCAAATGGCGCAGTGCTATTGGCTATATAAACTATTTGACAAAAAAGTATGCAAAATAAGTATCCAACTATTTAATGTATTTCATGAAAATAAACGAATAAAGTGTAATTCTCCCTACCTTGTCATTTTGATACGCCGTTACTGCAATGAAATCCGTTTCAGGAAAAACGTAAGTCCTGAACGTGCTATAGGGGAGTTTGAGAATGTCGTTGGCTCTCACGATGTGAAATCTGGGCTGATATTTGTGCATGGAGTTCAGGATGGTCTGGAACAGTAAAGAATTCTAGATTTAAAAAAGATAAGCACACACTGATTTCTGCCTTTTGATGAAGATAAGTCATTTGATGTAGTCCTCAATCGTAGTTCAGGCCTACTTGGTAAAATGGAATGTATTAGAACATTCTCCTCAATTTCTCTCACCAACAGTGCATTTACCCACCCCCCCAAAAAAAATTAAAAATAAATAAATAAAAATAATAATAATAATAATAATAATAATAATAATATAAGCAGTAGAATTACCACATAGCTTGACATGATATAAAAGTTGGGAAAACATGTTGCAGTGAAAATATTAAGACCTCATGTTGGACACAAACCTATTCAATTGAAATGAGGCCTGTATATTTTGGTGAAGCCTTCTCAGCCCTCGGCCAGACATGGCCACAGAGAAGCAACGTCAATGGGGTTATAATTATTTGGCTAATAATAATAATACGTCTGATAATAGCCTACGAATAACAATCATGATAACAATAATACATGGCAGAAATGTTTATAAGCATGCAAATAAGAAAAAAACATACATTAGATGAACTTACAAATCCATGCTTGTCGGAGATGTTATTCGTCAGCTTGAGTTTGTGAAAGTTTACGACTTTTGACATCCACTGCTCGCCAGTAGCCGGACTGTCCGGGTGAATGTACATCCTCTTTGGCATTTCGGGGTCGGCCTTCCCTGCCACCATCCAACGTGAGTTGTGAAATTTATACCTGCAGTCATCCGCTGCAACAATATCCATCAACAGAATGTACTTTGCTTTCTTGTCCAAGCCAGTGCATCTCACTTTGAACGGAGGGAACATTCGCCTGTGAAATGGAATAAGAAAATCACTTAAAAACAGTAAACTAGCCTACTTGACACTGTGACAGAATATTGATAGCCTATACATATATGGAGCAGCCATATTTGCATTGCTATTATACTATCTAGGATAATGACAATGTTACATACTGTTAATACAAAATTATTGCAAATATTAGGCTACATTTATTTTTAGGCCTATAGCATACGTATATGCGTCAGCCATAAGATTGAATGTATGCAGAACTTATTCTATCAAACAGAGGTAGGCCTTCCTACACCTATGCCATACAATTATCTGCCGCCTATAAAAAATAAAAAATGGCATAACATGTACAGCACGCATTGTGTAACTGTATTTTTACGGCAGGTAATCGTTTGTTTTGTTAATAACATTTGTTAGATACACGTTCTATCATAACATATAGGCCTACATGTTTCAGTTTTATAGCCTAGTATTTTGTCCGAACTTTACATCTTCAAACTACAGATATTTTTTTGTAGTAGCGTAGGCCTACATTTTAGAATCGCTCACTGTTTCATGTTTTCATATTCACCACGTGTCATAAGATGTTCCAAGTTAAAATGTTACAGCCTTATGTGTTGTATATTTTATAGTTTGGGTTGGGCTTTATTTTATCTCGTGTTGAGATTACATTCCCATGCAATGTGTCTGTGACCATACAGATTCTGTCGATAGGACAGTTAGGCTATAGTCATATTCAGCTGATTTACACAAATATAACCATGAGAAATGAACCAGTTTGAAATTAAAATGTTGACCACGATTCCCGGAGGTCCAGTTCCAAGCACACATCAATAAATTCATTCCTTCTATTGGAATGCCATCGTATTGATGATCAGAATGATCTTCATAATAACAAAATGCAGACTAATGTTATTCAGCTACAGAACATAAATATGTCATATTATAATACATAAAAGTTGATCTTACCTTCCGGATTTCGTGATAACCATTTCAGTGCCTCGCTTGTGGAAAGTTTCCCAAAGTTCCTTCGCTTCCAGGTGAACTTTCGGGTCGTCTTCGACCTCTTCTTCAGGCTCCAGGGTCTTCAGAGGCCTCAGATGGGCTGCGGCTGCCTGGTGCCCAAGCGATGAGAAGTGGAGGCCGGACTCGGCGGCGCCCATCAGCTGGTCCATGATAGGCTTTCCCAGGGCGCCCGGGAGAGAGAGGGAGCCGTTGTGAGGTAGCGCCAGAGCCGGAAAAAAGGGAGGCTGGTGACCCAACATTGCACTCATGGCAAATTCCGGACCCCGGTGAGGTAAAAACGGATGGTATGCCATACTCGTTCCTTGTATGACTGGATCTCTCATCAGGAAGCTCATCCAAGTCCAGGCAGGTACCAAATATATGGATTTATTTAGTTGAATACTATAGTCAGTCTATGCAGCCTTCTTGAAGAGCAAAACTTGTTGAGTCTTGAGAAATCTACTGTCACCACTGCAGAAATAAGCATCCACTTATTTTCGACTGGGCGGTGTGAATTTTCTTTACTGTCGTTCGCTAAGTTCCAACAGAGTATCTGCAATGAGAAATGACAATACGCACTCCATTAATCTTCAGTTGTGATGAGATAAAGATTTTCTTCCGAGAACACTTTTCTATGCGTTGTCTTGCGAAAATTTTCGAATTGAACAAACAAGGGTGAGTCACTACGTTTTAATTGACTGTTGCGTTCTTTTCTTGATGTTGTTTATAATATCCGCATCCCTTTTAAAATGAATTCGCTCTCATTGGCTTCAGTCCTGCTGCAAAAGCAATGTGTTGAAATATTTCGATAGCGTGGAACAATTCCTCTGTCTTTACTTGTTCCACACATGCACCCTCACACGCACGCACACTATTTCTTCCTCTCTCTTTCACACACACACACATTTCAGTAAAAACGTATGCGGAGAAAGGAGTCCGTTGACTGCAGAGAGGTGGTAAGGTCCCAGCACCAAGATATTACTAGCGCTTCTGTGCCCCATAGGCTTGAAACTATATGGATGTGTTGCATGTTACGAGAAGCTGGGCTCTGTTGATTGGCTCTTTGACGCTTTCTGACCAATTGTGTGGCTTCGTAGGCGTGGTTTTAACAGGTCCGGTGGAGGGGACAGAATTCAGTCTTATAAAAAGGTGTTTGGAACTCAACGCTGCGGTGAAACAAAACTGCCTCAGTCAATGTTGTGTGAATATGTCAACATCATCAGAACTAGTGCGATCCGTCGGTCTGTGGAACCCTGGAAGGAAAAGTAGCCCGAGTCTCAGTTGCTTTGTCCATAAGAAATGACTGTCTCGTGTGCAGAGCGGCAGGGCTGGCCCTGTCATCAAAACATTGACTACATTTTAGTGTGAAATCATGGACGCTTTATTATGTAGGCTATATGGAATTAATAATTATACACAATTTATCTTCAATGTCATTGATTTGATCATTTGGAATTTATTTCATGATCAGAAATCGTCCGTTGTCTGTTGTTCTCCGTTGTAGTGGTCTAGGCTACATACAACACCGGAAAGGAATGTTTGGCAACATGCAAGCTACCATTATCAGCACCGTATTTGTGAAAAATTATAGTGAATTTTAACCGGTTGTCACGCGACGACCCGGTGATCAGTTAGCCTATAGCCTACAATGTTAATAATATGACAATAAGATAAAGAAATTAGGATCATGTGGATGTTTGCTGACACTTTATTATTGCATATAATCTTTCTTGTTGATTTAATCCCTCTCATCGTCCAGCCTTTGAAACAATCAATCGGCAATGTAGCCTACAGTGATGCGTTTGATAGCCAATTTTGACTGGACTTTAACTCTCCGAATTACAGTATTCATTTTACCTTGAATGTGAAGAGATGACAGGGTGATTCGGTGTGCTGAATGCATGGCGCCTGCCGTGTGTGGTTATGTCAATGGATAATATTGCCTCACGCACTATAGAGCAGGTTAACATGAATAAACCGACAATACAACTCTCTCTCTCTCTCTCTCTCTCTCTCTCTCTCTCTCTCTCTCTCTCTCTCTCTCTCTCTCTCTCTCTCTGTCTCTCTCTCTCTCTGTCTCTCTGTCTCTCTTTCTCTCAAACACACACACGCCCCCCCTCTCCCTCTCTTTCTCCCTGTCCTCATGAGAGAATAGCCTATGCATGCTGCTCATTGTGTGTGATTGCCTAGTTATCGCCACGCAATTTTGCCATATGCTTTCATAGAGATCCAGAGGGCTGTCGAATGTCCCTGCTCACGGAATTACAGTAGGCCTATACATTTTGTATCTGGTAAGCCCAGTTCCTAATGGTACATTCCCCGTTAAGGGACTGTAGCATATTTACATTTACCATAAACATTTGCCTAATTTACATTATTATATGTCGGAATTGGTGAACTGCTAGGCCTATAGCAGCTATAATTAACTACCATTAACCTGATATAACATGTAGTCTAATAAAATAACATTTCGAAAATACAACCCACTAAAAACATTGTTGGTGGTGATAATATGGTGGTGATAATATGGTGGTGATCACATATCAAGAGGGGCATTCAAGGGACATTACACACATTACACGCAAGTCTAGACAATGGCACCAGCCACATACTATATTTAAGGATTAATTTAGGCCCTACAAGTAAACTACAGAGGGAGTTGGCGGTGGTCAGCCATATTGACCAATAACTTCCCACGGGCCAAAAACTGGTTGAATAAACGTTGTATCCACATCATTTCAACAACAAAATCAATGTGATGACGTTGAATCAATGTGGAAAATTGTTTGGATTTGCAAAAAATCATGAATGTAAGGGGTTTTCATACCCAGATTGCAACCTAAGTCCAATGACATTGTACATGTTTTTGTTGATTTCACATTGAATTCACGTTAGTTGAATACACAACCAAATGTAAATCAAAACTAGACATTGAACTGATGTCTGTGACCAGTGGGTTCCCATCCAATCATAGTCCTACAAGGTTGAACTATAGGGACTTGTCAATCTTCTGAGCTATGATTTTGAACTACTATCTACTATTTCATTCAGAAAAGTGCTTTATCCTTTGCTACCAAAACAATTGTTAGTGGGGAAACTCACCTATTGATACTGTCAATTTGACTGAGCAATCTAAGATGACTGCAGGCTGGTGACATGGTCCTTTGAGTAGGCTATTTACATTTACATTACATTTTAGTCATTTAGCTGACGCTCTTATCCAGAGCGACTTACAGTAGTGAGTGCATACATTTTCATAGTAGTCCCCCGTGGGAATCGAACCCACAACCCTGACGTTGCACCGCCATGCTCTACCAACTGCGCTACACGGGATGAGTGCATGGGTAGTTGCATGAAGCATTATCTGTCTGTACTGTACTGCATAAATATATCTGAATGCCCCTACCCAACAGTCTTACCAAGTCCTGATAACAGGAGAGGTGTTATCCCTAGGGTTATCCTCATTTTCAGTTTGTAAACTAGTTTCCTTGGGTTGAATTAATGAAGTTTATCTTTAACATTTGCATGCACTTATTAGGGATAACCAGTTTGCAGTTCCACTGTCCAGTTCTCCAGACTTTATGTGTGAGTGTAGCTTAGTTATTGTCAATAGAGTGACAGCCTGTGTGCTCTCTTTTGTCAGCTGCTACAGTATGTCAGAGCAGGGAAACTGTCCCCAAGCTATCCTGTGTGTCTCTATGCCTAATTAGGGGAGGGCAGCATAGATTGTGTATTGTAAGGTGTCAATATTTATTGATATTTGCTGGGGTAACAAATGAGATAACCGCTGACACAATAGGCTTAATTACAATTTAGCATTGATAACACTATAGGCCTATGGAACGATGGCTAAGTCTTCCCTCCAGTCACCTTAGCCTGAGCATGGGTGTTCACTTAAAATGGCAGATAGTCCTTTAGTCTCCTTTGTGTGTGTGTGAGGTCAGGCCTGTGCCGATTACATGCTTATTCTTCTTTAAACACTCACACCTATTAGCAGCACATTTTAATTCAGTGGAAGGTGTCAACAAATAGAAAGCACCCTTTCATTCGCTGTGGCCACCAGGCTTAATTAGCTAAGCAACCCTGAGAGAACGGTCAATACACTATATAAAGTTTTACAGGGTTAGGGCTCTCAGGGACTCCAAGTGGCAATAAAACTGCAGACCTGACACAACTGATTGATGAGGCGGGGCTGTCAATGTTTTTATATCTACAGTGATAATGTATATCAAAATCAAAAAGCTATATATTTGTCTAGACAGGCTCCAAAATCCCATTCTGTCTGCCTCTGTTTGTTTCCTGGCGGTGTAGTGTATAGGGACAATAAGCAGTTTGAACCTGTTACATGCAGAGGTCAGTTGTCTGTATGCTCCTCCATACTGTTTATCAATGGTGTGTTTGCTATAGTATAGTCATATACATTGATGTTTAAGTATATATTTTGAGAAAGTAACTGTTTTCGTTTCAAGAGATTGCGTCAATGTCATGTTTAGGCTACATGTTTATCTATTTATCAATGTTTATCTCTTTATGTTGGTCAAAGTAATGCCCATAAACTATCAAGTAGTGTCTTCTCTCACTGGATACACTCTCAGTCCTTTCCCTAAGTTATCAGTACAGTCAGCAAAAGTTAAGATGGGAAATAAGTTAGTAATACCTATAGAGACTAGCTCATTGGATCAATATGATGTGTATTGCTTGTATGATTATTAAGTCAAACTTCTTAGACTCTCTCAGAATGGATCATGGGGCTGCCAGTGTTGAATTTTTGCTCCCATGTTTATTTGCAGATTGTAAATGATAAATGGGGTCAGACATCATGGCACCAGCTGAGAGTGGAGGACATTGTTGTTGTTTTGGGGTATTTAGACACAACTAGACGCGATAGGGAGGGGAAGCATCACAAGGTTAGTCAGTTAAGTTGCGCAATACTTGAAATTAATATGCATCCAATATACATTTGTTGTACCTGTTCTTTAGGTATTGCAATGACAACATAGTAAACATGTACTATTTACCCCATAGATGTAAGTAATATCACTGTTTTCAAAATGATTCATGTGGACTATTGGTCCAAATACAGAGATTGTGAAATGCACTTTCCAAAATTAGCTCCATGCTGGAAGTCTGCTTGAAGCATGAAAAACTTTCACCTGTCGATGATTCTGGCCTGTCAGTCATTTTTATGCAAGTCAACAAACCAATCAGAGTGCAAATAAATATTTGTACTGTTTTGTTGTAGTTATTACCTGAATATAAGCAGTTTAGTTTACTCAATAAATTCTGCTCAAAACGATGCCCATCATTATGATAGGAGCAGTCGAAACTGTGCTTCCAGACAGGAACCCTGACCCCTTGATTGAAACAAACAATTCTGAAAAACAACCTGCAATAGAGCATGCTGGGACATATCATAATGATGGGCGTAGTTTTGAGCATAATTGATTGAGTAAACAAACTTTAACACAACTCAAATTCTTGTCCTGTTGAAGTCCACTCAACTCACATAATAACGCTTATTAAGCAATTGGTTAAGTTGGCTTTTTTACAGCGTATGAGAGGTTGTAATAGAAATGTCTGGCAGCATTTACTTATATTGAGGCAACATTACAAGAGCATGAACCCAGTAACTGCTTACTAAACCACTTATATTCAGGTAATAACTACAACAAAACAGTACAGCCATTTATTTACACTCTGATTGGTTTGCAGTCATGGTGAAATACAAGCAGTGAAAAGATTAGACTATAGTCATATCTGCAGGAATACCCCAATAATACTGCAATGTACAATGGAACTTAATGCAGTGGATTGAGGGAACAGTGTCTACAGACGCTAGTAGGCTATACTCCCTGTAGCTGTGCAGTAGATGCCAGTGGTAAATGCCTCAGATGTGGGCCATGTGTGAAACTCCTTATTTTGCTTTATTTGCCACCACTCACCAGCTGTTGGGCACAACTCAGATACTTTATCTTTCTACTGAAAAGGTTGCACTTATTGATATAATCCCATTTAAACCCCCT